AGCAGGCTCCACACTGTCAGTGCAGAGCCCAATGAGGGGCTTGAACTTATGAACCATGAGATCATGACCTGAGCCAAAATTAAGAGTTGGACACTTAACCGACTGAGCCACAGGCACCCCTGTTGTTTTTTAATCAGAGGTTAAGTATCTTTATAAAGAGCATACTACCACCCCCTACTGTCTACCACTCCTCCACTTTCCTCTGACTTTCTGTTCCCCATAGGCCTCTGGGTTTGCAAGGCCAACTGGAGGGCAATTCCTGTATCACCACTAACAGCACCGGATGTTTTCATCAATGACTTCTACCCACTTTTGATGAGAGTAAGCTCCAGATTCCTGCTGGTCTTACCTCTGCCATCTCTCTCATGTTCCTCTACCCTTTACCTTTCTATCACCAGTGCCCTGAGTTCAGGCCCCCATTACCTCTTCTCTAAACTACTCTGACAGCATTTTTTTTTAAGATTTTATTTTTAAGTAATCTCTCCACCCAACGTGGGGCTCGAACTCACAGCCTTGAAATAGAGTCACACGCTCTATTGACTGAGCCAGCCAGGTGCCCCAACTACTATGACAGCTTCTTAATGGGCCTCTCTGTTCCAGTATTTCCTATCTTCAATCCATTTTATGTACTGCTGTTGGCTTTGTCCTCTGGAAGTATGGCTCCTTAATGTCACTTTCCACCCACCTTTTTCTGAACTCCTTGGCCAAGCATTTAAGGTCTCCCATGGCATAGTTACAACCCACCTTCCTAAAGTTTAAGCCCCTCCACACCATTTCTGTACTCTGGGCTCCAGCCAGACCAACCACATACCGTTTGCTTCTATCTTGGGGCTTTCTTACTTCCATGAATTTTTCACAATCTTTTGTTCGCTTGGAACACTCTTTGCCCCCATCTTTGCATGTTCACATTCTATCAGTGTGCAAGGCTGAAATAAGAAACCACCTCATCCCAGCCAGAATTCATCTTTCCTCCTCTAAACTTCTGTAGCCTTTTCCATTTTCAGGGTGACTGAGGTTCTTTCCTTAGCTTTCCTATTAGCCCTGAGTCCCTAAGAATAGAATCTGTATTTATCTTTGTATCCCCTGACCTAGCACAAGACTCCATTAATTTTTGAACACGTGAACTAACACATGAATACATTTCTCACCTGCAACTTGGCAGTTAATGGTCACATTCACTCCTGGCACTGTTTTGATAGTGCTTCCTACATCAGCTGTGATTGCAGGCTCCTCAGTGTTGATCACAGTCACTCGTGATGTCTTCACTAGTGGCTTTCCTGAAAGGGGGAAGGAATGTGAGATTTTACTAAATGGTGGCTATGGGCTTGGGTCATTCACTTGAAACATGGGATGACCCACAATGAATAACTAGCATACCAAGGCTTTTCCCACTAACCACGTTTTCCTTTGAAAAAATTGTAACTGCACAATATAGCAGCCATCCACCCACCTGCTCGCCCACCATAGAACTGTCAGAAAAAGAACGAAGATCGAAGAATCTGAAGATGGAGAATAGTATCTAACAAGCTGGGATGATTTGTGATTTGTGCATTTTATCGTTAAATTAATAAATGATAGTATATATTCTATTTTAAAGGTTTATTATTTTTTATGCTTTAAAAAAATGTTTATTTATTTATTTTGAGAGAGAGAAAGACAGCGTGTGCACAAGTAGGGGAGGGGCAGAGAGAGAATCCCAAGTAGACTCTGCATTGTCAGCACAGAGCCTGATGTGGGGCATGATCGCAGGAATTATGAGATCATGACCTGAGCCAAAGTCAAAAGTCAGAGGCTTAACTGACTGAGCCACCCAGGTGCCCCAAGGGCCTCTTGTTTTCAATCAGTTTTTTTACTTTGAGATAATTATACATTCACATGCAGTTGTAAGAGATAACACAATCTCGTGTACTCTTTACCTAGATTCCCCCAATAGTAACATCTTATAAAACTATAGTATCATAATTAGGACATTGACATTGATAAGTTAAGCTAAAGAGCATTCCCATCACTAAAGGAGCCCAAATGCTGCCCCAGCCCTGCCTTAATCCTTTGGTAACTCTTAATCTCTTTTCCATTTCTAAAATTTTGTCATTTCAAGAACATTATAAAAATGGAATCCTATAGTACTCTAATTTAAAAAAAATTTTTTTTTCCACTCAGAATAATTCTTTGGAGATTATATGGGGTCTCTAATGGTACCATGGTTGTGTGCTTGCTTCACTTGTTGAAGGACATCTGGGTTGTTTCCTGATGTGTCTATTTAAATAAAGCTGCTATAAATATTTCTGTACAAGTCTTTGTGCGAACATAAGTCTTCATTCATTTGGGATAAATGCCCAGGAGTGCCATTGCTAGGGCATACGGTAGTTGCATGTTTAGTTTTTAAAGAAACTGCTGAACTGTTTTCCAGAGTGGCTATATCATTTCACATTCCCATCGGTAACGTATGAGTGATCCAGTTTCCCTCCATCCTTGCCAGCATTTGGTGTTGCCATTAGTTTTAATTTTAGCCATTCTGATAGGTGTGCAGTGATATCTCATTGTGGTTTGAGTTCCCATTTCCCTGATGCTACTGATGTTGAATATTTTTTCACGTGCTTTCTTGCTGTCTTTATATCCTCTTTGGTAAAATGTCTCTTCGTGTCATTTGAGCAGTGTCTAACTGGAATATTATTTTCTGTTGAGTTTTGCAAGTTCTTTACACTCTAGATATTAGTCCTCTGTCAGATACGTGGTTTGCAAAGACTTTCTCTTACTGGTATTGTGACAGTATTTATGTTAAACTACTGTATCAATCTGGGGAGAATTGACATTCTATGTTGAATCTTCTAATACACGAACACTGTATGTCTATTTATTTAGATCTCTTTTAACTTCTTCCATCAGTGTTTTATGGTTTCTGACACACACGTTCTATATACATTTTGTTAGATTTATACCTAATTATTTTGATTTTGAGGGATGGTAAATTACATTGTATTTTCAATTTCACTGTTCACTGACAGTACATAGATATACTGCTGATTTTTGTATATACTGTAACCTTGTTAAACTTACATGTTAGTTCCAGGACTTGTTGTGGGTGGATTTCTTATAATTTTCTAAGTAGGTGATCATTTTGTCTGCAAATAGTGTTATTTCTTCCTTTCTGATCTGTATGCCTTTCATTTCCTTTTCTTGCATTATTTCACTGGATAGAGCTTCCAGCCCTGAGTAAGAATGCTAGAACTGAATAAGAATGCAGAGTAAGAGTGGTGATAGTGGGTTTGGGGTATGATGAGTGATTTTTAATTGATACTTGGACATTTTCATATTACGTTATGCAAATCTGGATCTTATTTAAGCCTACTGTTTTAGTTGGCTTTCTCTGCAACCACTAAGGTGGGGGAGCAGGGAAGGGCCACCTTATTACTACCCAATGGAAATAGAGGTCCAGATTCTCCAGCTGCCTCCTTCGTCACTCAAATGGGGGACTCCTCATTACTGCCGAGCAGAGCAGTGGTGGGACTTCTGGCTCCCCACGTGGTCTCTACTGGCTCCACTGTGGGAGGGGCCTTAGTGCTGTTGGGTAGTAGGTGAAAGTCCTGACTCTCCAAGAGGCCTTCTGTAACACCACTCCAGCGTAAAGGGTAAAGAAGGTGTCACAAGGTGAGGGTAGAATTCCAGGTTCCCAATGTGCTTTCTACCCTGCTTTTCACCCTGTGGGGATGAAATCTGTCTTTTCTGACACCACATCCATGGGGGTACTGAGGAACAATCACTTCACATCAGATGAGGTAAAGTCTAGGTTCCCCACTCAGCCTTTGCTGGTGTGGGTGGCAATGAATCATGGTTTTTTGTTTTGAGGTAGAGCTTCCCAAAAGTTTTCTGTCTGGTTAAGCCACCCCTTTCCCGGTCCTCTGGCTAGAGAGAGAGGTCTTCAGTTGAGGCATTTTTTTCGTGTTCCCATTGCATCTGCGGATGGCTGGCTTCTTCAGCTCTGAGTTTGGGAGTTAGGAGGCAAAAAGAGAACCCAAGGAGGTAACAACTGTGTAGTACCACAGTCCCCGAGGTCTCTAGCCAGTCTGCTTTTTCCTCTCCACCTTTGAGTCTTCAGTTTGTTTTATGTACAGTCGCCATGGATTTTAATTGTATTTAACAAGAAGAATGGGGACAAGTGCATGTGCGCCACCTTCCCGGAAGTAGAGGTTCTGTGTACGTGACATTTTAATGGGCCTTTATCAGCTGGGGCTAAAAATCCAGCACTTTGTGTACACGGCCGCAAGATACAATTAAAAGAACCATTTATTAAGCACCTCGGGGAAATAAGGGTCCACATGAAATCATTTTTTATGTACCCTAAGCTTACTTCTTTGTAAGCCAAATGGATTTAGTTTTGTTTTAACCATTTAATAGGCAGGACACTACAAGGTTGTTCCCTCTTCTGTACCTTCATTAACTGTGAAGAAACCCCTAACTCAACAATGCCATTTAACTTGCTTTTTATACTTTATGTTTTCTCCCTCATCTATTTATCCATCATTCCTGCCTGCACTGTCACACAGCCTCCTGTTACAAGCTGTCCTCTTTCTTCTCCTCTTCCCTTTTAACTGTGCTCTAGGTATAGGTTGTTAAGCTCATTAAAACTATGTTCCAAGGCAGAAGCTTGAGTGAGGTCTGAATACGTGCATAGGCTTTCCATCCTTATTTTGACTGTTTAGGGGTCTTTTTCCTTATCTCACCTGTATGTACTCCATATATACGAGACTGTGTAAGACCTGAAGTGGAGATGAGTGACTTTGAACTATGATGGTTTCCAAGAATAACACAGGGTGGTAATAGGGGAATAATCTGGAATGACAGTGAATAAATCCCAGCGTATTTTCCTTACCTCCTTACCTGCAGAAAGCTCCCTGCTCTAACTCCAAATATACCTTAAGTCTAACCCACCCCTCTGTCGCTATAATCTAATGTTGTCACCTTCTCCGGCTGGACTGCAGCACAGCCTAACTGATCTCACTTCCACCTGTCACTATAGTCTCCTCTTGTGACAGCTACAGTGATCTTTCTCAAACATGAATCTGATTATGTAACTCTTCAGTTTAAATTATCCAGTGCTTTATCAGTGTGCGTAGAACAAAACTTCAAACTCCTTTTCACAACCAACCGTGTCCTCTATGGGTTCAGGCCCAACTGTCAACCTCTCCTACCTCACTGGAGCCACACTCCCCATCAATCACTGCTCTGGCCACACTGACCTCCTTTCTCTTCCTGAAACATCGGCTCATGTACCAGGGCTCTTCCTTTTCCTGAGAGCCTCTAGGTACAGACTTCTGCATGGCTGTCTTCTCCAGTTGTTCCTCAGGTGCAAATAATATCTCCTACTGGGACCTTTCCTAACCACCCCATCTAAATCAGGCATTCCTTTATCCCTGGCCAGTCATTATGTCTCTTACCACCAACTTCATAAACAAAGAAATATCCGAATTTATCATTTATTTGTGTATTCTCTGTCCCCATCCCTCACCAAGTAACCCCCATAAAAGCAGGGATCACATCACTCTTGTTCTCTTCTTTATTCCTACTGCCTAATCCGGGCACATTGGTAGGTCCTCAATCAATATCTAGTAAGTGAATATATGTGTGCGTTTCGTATGCTATGTGTATTCTGAATTTGTTTTTGCTTTTGTAACAACCCCGAGGCAGGTAAAGTACTTGTTTTATGTAATCAAAGAATTGAGGTTCAGAGAGGCTTCACGGATTGCCCAAGATCACAGAGCAGCAGGTAGTAGGGGTAACCTAGATTTTTGACCTAAAGTCTGGTGCTTGTTATACGGAATCTCCAATCCTTGTCTGTGGACTGGCTGTCTCAGAACTCCCTGGGTACTTATTAAAAACATAATCTTCCTGCTATAATACAAATTGCCCCACTGTGCAATAAAAACAACTGTGCCAATGGAGAAAAGTAGGTAAGGGACCAGAGAGTTTCAGGCTCACAATTACTAAGTTATTTTTCCTATAGGAATTTTAATAATAAAGTTTTTTTTTTATAGCTGCAAGTGTATAGCTATAAAATTCAAATGTCACTGAATTAAATCCAGCCCTTAATTAATTACATTGAGTTTTTGCTCAAAAGTAATGGCCTTTTGTCCTGTCACTAGAGGTGCTCTCATTTGCAGAAGCTACTTGTACATTTCTCACTACCTTCATGATCCATTGTTAAGACAAATCACGTTACCCAAGTATTTGTAATTATAAAATACTGTGTCTCTTTTTTTTCTTTTTAATGTTTATCAAT